TACTCCACCATCCTCAGTACGAACTTCTTCCTCATGGTCCAAAACGGCTGCTCAAGCCCCAGGCCTCAAGGCCACATTTCAGCTAGCAAAAAGGAGGGAGAAAGGCAACAGAGGCCAGGTCTCTTCCCCTAAGGACACTTCCCAGAAATTGCACACACCTGCTTTCTATTCATTAGCCAGAACTTGGGCACAAGGCTGCAGCTAGAAGCAAGGGAGGCTGGGAAAGGCAGTCTTGATTCTAAATGTCGTAGAAACGGGGAGTTTTATTACTCAGGGGGTGGGTAGAACGTGTGTTGACAGAAACACACACAGCAGTCTCTCTCCAGAGCTCCAGTTTCCGCTAGGATTTGGTTCTCAGTGGCTGTTTCAAACATTTGTAGCTCCTAATACTAGTGACAACATACACGTGTATCTGACTGTTTAACCCACATCAGGCATTCGTGTCTGTTACCTGATTTGATCACTAAAACTCTTCCAGGCAGATTTGTTGTTGTTGTTGTTGTCATTGTTGCCTTTTGAACAGATGAGACACCTGAAGCTTCACTACTGGCTCAAGAACCCAGAGATTGTAAATGATTGATGAAGGACTGGAATCTAGGTCTGTCCAACTCCCAGTCCTTTCTTTCCCGTTCCAGGGCACTGCCTGCAACGTTGAAGCCCCTGCAGCACAAGGAAATGATCCCCAAAGACCGGACATTAGAGCGGAGGGAGAACCTGAGGTCAGGAAGCCGCCGGGGACAGGCCTGGAGCCCTTCCTGCACCTGATGGCAGCAGTCACAAGCGGCTGCCATCCTCTGCACCCCCGGGCTCACATTACCTGGCAGAGCTGGGATCAGGACCAAGGTTCAAATGATCACCAAAGCTCATGCCTCCCTCATGATACTCTGTCCTAGTCCCTTTGTCCTTGCTCTAGGAAAGACAGGCACCAGCAAGACAATGGGAGCAGGTGGCAGGCACCTCCAGAGGGGTGAAGGGATAGTCTGTTCCTGCAACCTGAGCCTCAGGCACAGCCAACAGGATCAGGGCCGCCTTGCAGGACCGTTCTGTGGGGACAGTCACTCCCTGATCATAGAACCAGATCCTAGATTTAAGCTGTGATTATCTAGTCACTTAACCAGAGCTATTAAAGAATGTCACACCTGGCTCTCCCTTCCCCTTTCCTTGAGAGGGGAATCGCAGAATCTTGAGGACACACGGGAAAGAGGGGTAGGAAAATAGGGAACTGTGTGCCAGGTACTGTTCTAAAGGCCTCGAGTACACTGACTTGTTTAACCTATACAACCTATGATGTTTTAGGTTGTTTAATCAGAACAACCTATAACATCATCCCCATTTTACAGATGAGGACACTGAGGCCCAGGGAGTCTTAAAACTTACCTAAGATGATATAGCTAGTAAGTGGCAGAGCTGGGATTTGAATCCAGCTGTCTGGCTCCTGAGCTCCCTTTCTAAAAAAATATTTTTATTGCAAAATAAGACAAACAGAAAAGCATACAGAACAAACATACAACTTAGTGAATTATTATAAGGCAAATACCCTTATATTTCTTAACACGGGTTAAGAAAGAGAACTTTGCCTGACACCCCCCTCTCTGTGCCTTCTGCTAATCACAGCCCCTCCCTCCCACTCTCTGAAAGCAACTGCTATTTGGACTTTTACAGGAATAATTTCCTTGTGTTTCTATATGGGTTTTTTCACCCTAGACACTGTTTAGTTGGGCCCATTTTTTTCTAACTTGATACCTCTTAAGTTTCTTTTTATCTACAAGTCCTCCCTCCATGACTTAGTTTCTCTTGTAATTTATCTGTTGAACAGCCAGAGGCATTTGACCTGTGGGGTTTCCCAGTCTGATTTTGCTAATGGAACACTCGCAGCAAACTCAATATGTTCCGCTGTTCTCTGAATTTCCAGCCAATTGCCTGTGGGCTCTAGGGGCATGATCAGACTCAACTTTGAGCCTTTTGGAAAGACCCCAAGGGTTGTGTTCCTCTATCAGGAGCACAGAATGTCTGTTTTTTTCTGTCTTTTGACCATAGCCATGCTCTTAACCACATTGCTGCAGGGACAATTCTGGGCTGCCCTCAGCTGCCCTGTGGTTTGCCCCACCTTCTAAACCTATCTGCCCCAACGGCGAGCCATTGTAGGCACCAAGGTTTCTTGCTGCCTTGGGCCTGGGTCATACAAGAAGGCAGCCCCTCCCTCAGAAGTCCCACCTGACCCTCTCCACACTCCCAGGCCTGACGTGGAATCGGGCCCTGCCTCTCATGAGCATCATCTCTCTGCGTCTCCCTCCAGCCCAGTACACCAGGCAGATGGAATTCTGCTTCATTTCCCAAAGGGACCACATTCCTCCTTACCTCTGGGCCTTTGTTTGTGCTGTTCCCTCAACCAGAAACACTCTTCTTCTCACCCCCTCTAAGCACAGCTGATCCTCCAGGTCCTAGCAAATCTGTCCCTTCCATATCACCCCCACCCAGCCAGATTGGACTGGGCACCTTTTATGTACCTTCCCTCCTCCTAGGCTAAACTTGGAAGTAACCTAGTAAGTAGTACCACTACATTATACTTGCCTGTTTTCTAATATTTTCCCTCCTAGATTGAAGACAGGAACCCTGGCACCGGACATAATAGGTGCTCAGTAAATATCCATTGAATACATGCATGAATGAATTGAACTTTACAAGTTACAGGGAGGCAAATATCAGCTTAGTTTAAGAACTTTCAGACAATGAAAGCTCTTCTAAGATGACACACACCAAGCTCCCCACCAGGGGAGGTATTCAAACTGTTGTGCGGTGCAGGTCGCAGAAAGAATTTCTGCCTGGGCCCTGGCCGGGTGGCTTGGTTGGAGTGTCGTCCTGTACACCAAAAGGTTTTGGGTTTGATTCCTGGTCAGGGCACATGCCTAGGTTTTAGGTTCAATCCCGAGTAGGTCCACATATGAGAGGCAACCAACCAATCAATGTTTCTCTTTCTCTCTCTCTGCCTTCCTCTCTCTAAAAACATCATCAGGTGAGCATTAAAAAAAAAAAGAATTCCTGCCTGGGATAGGTCCTTCTAGGGAAATGAGTCTCAGTCTTGGAAAGTAGCAGAATCCTTTTTTCAAATAATCTTCCTAGGCACTCCTAACTATAAAACAAGTTCAAGGTGAGGAGTCTAGTCTCAGCATTGGAGGAAGCAGAAGCCCCGCCACGGGCCTCCCCTTGTCCCCAGCATGGGGTTTCCTCTGAACGGTGGCCTGGCTATATTGTCAAGTCACTTTATCAAAGCCACTGTGTCTCTTTTTTTAAGAGGCCATACTAGACCAGAAACGTCCCACCTAACACCTTCTCTCCCTATGGGGCACCCAGGGACTCATCCTGTGGGTTAACAGAGATGCCCATAGAAGCCCTCTTGAAGCCCCTCCAAAACATCGCATTTCTGAAACTGTAGATCTGGGGTCTCTGGGCAGAGCTAAGTGGGCACAGGAGCGGGCAGGGCTATAGGCTGCTGCGGGGCACAGAGCCAAAGGCTTAGTCTCAGAATTGGATTATTAGAGTGCATTTGGAGCTCTAAGCCCCACTGCCCACAGGCGACATGGGGATTACCCAGGCCTCTGGCAGGGGCCCACAATCTTTCCCACACTCCCTGCCAGGTCTGAGAACAAGGATTGTCCCTGGGCCGAAGCATATGGGCACGAGATTGTCCACCCACCTCTCACTCCCAGCCTTTAGCCCTCACACCCTCCCCCCACTGCCTGGAAGCACAACTGCCTCCCAGGTGTCTGGGATTTGTAACAGTATTATTCAAACTGGGGTCCACGGACTGGGCGGCATCAGCATCCTGGGAGCTTGTTAGAGATGCAAATTTGTGGACCCCACCCCAAATACTGAATCAGAATCCCCAGAGTAGGGCCCAGGTCTGTCGCTTCACAAATCCTCCAGGAGATTCTTTCTCACACTAAAGTTTGAGAACCACTGGCTTGGAGCTTGAAGTCCCTGGGTCCATCCCACACCGCTGTCTGATTATGCCCCGTGCCCGTGAAAGATTCTGGGCAACCTCTACCCACAACCTTCTTCTTTGGGCTCCTTCAATCTTTCACTTATCTGAATTAATTACAATGATTCTAATGGGTTGTTTAATATTGCACAATTCCACTGCAGTATGTCAATAGCGACCCCTGGAGGTGTGCAGTGCAACGTGGACTTTATTATCACTTATCCCCATATTACATTTGAGGAAACTGAGGTTCAGAGAAGGGACATCATGACTGGCCCAAAGTCACACAGCAAATAAACCCAGAGCCTAACTACTCTACTATTCTGCTTCCTGCTCAGTGGAGAGGATGGCAGCTGTTTCTACATCTGTCCCTCACACACACTGGATTTCCTCCAGGGCGAAATCCTTGCCATCACTTCCTCAGGAAAGCCTCCCTCTCCCCAGAGAAGGCCAGGCCTCCTTACTCTACCCTACCAAAGGTCCCTGCTTTTTCCCTAACAGAAGTATCACAATTTGTAATCATATAACAATGTGATTATTCCACCTCTGTTGCCCTGGCTGGCGAGAAACTCCAGTGAGACAGAAAGTGGGGCAGACCCTCCCAGGTGCTTACCAGTATCCATCCTTCCCTCCTATAGCAGGTCCTGGAATAACAGTTGTTGTCTGGGATGCTTAGGAACTTAACTCTATCAATTAGCCTCTGGTAAAACTGGTTTCACTATATGTTGTTTCGCTTAAAGTCACAGAACCTATTGACAACATTGAGGATTTACTGTAGAACCTGACTTCATTTGTGGCAGCCACCAACCCAGCTAAATCACTACAACCCCGGGCTCCCTTTCAGCTAAGGGTACAGAGTTCTGGCTTCTGAGGTCAGTGAGGAAGTGGCTGGGAATCTAGTGGGTACTCAATAAATGCATGTTGAATGCAGGAATGTTCAGCCAGTTCTGGGCGTGCAGCTGGGACTCAGGAAAACGTGTCATCTAACCAGGCCCAAGAAGCAAAGACCTCCACAGCTGCCTTGCTCTTGGAAATACTTTTATTGGTTCCGAGATAACAAGGCTGAGGCGAGCTGGGATGGGCGCAGAGCTAAGGAGGGCAGCGAGAGGCTTTGCCCAGGGCAGACATGCTATGTGGGATCTGCTGGCGGGCTCCCTGGCCCACCCAGCCAGCGGCGGCTGGGTACATGGCACTTCGCGCCTTGCATGACCTCTGCGGGCTTGGCACTATGGCCTCCTTGTCGGCGGGCACCCCCTTTCCAGTTGCAGGAGTTGTGAGTCTTTCACAGTGCGGAGGGGTGGGGTCCGGGGTGGGCACCTTCCCCGGGGTGCAGGCAGGCCCCGTCCACCAGTACATCCTGGGCTCTCGGCGGCGGCGGGGTGGGCGAGCTCTGGCTCCTCTGCTCGCCCCTGTGGGAGCTTGGCAGTCCTGGAGGGGCCCTCACGGCCTCAGCGGGACATCATCCGGACAAACTCTGGGAGAGCACAGGAGAGGGTGGGGAGAAAGCAGCAGTAAGGGCCCAGCTCAGGGCGCTGCCTCCAAATCTCCCTCAGATCTGTGTCCCCCTCTCCATCGCCACTGCTTGCGACTCCACGCTGACCCCCCACATCCATACGGCCTCTTCCAATCCATCTTCTACCCAGCAGCTAGCTCCAGCTTTCCAAGCTGCATATCTGACCCCCTTCTTAAACCTCTCGCAGATCCCCCCGGATAATGTCCCATATCCTGACATGACCTCAGGGCCCTCCCTGTTCTGGCCCCAGCTGACATCTCCAGCCTCACGTCTCCCCGCTCACCCCCAATCTCATGCTCCTACTACACAGCTCCCTTTCAGCGCCTTAGGTACCACTGGCTCCCTCTCCTTCTCACCTCTCAGCTTTCCTGCAACTTGCCGCCTCTCCCTTCTCTTTTTCCAAGTAGACTATTTTTTACAGCAGTTTTAGGTTCACAGCAAAATTAAACAGAAAGTACACAGAGTTCCCAGGTTCTCCGACCTCCACACAGGCACACCCTCCCGCATTATCAAATCCCCCCAGAGAGGTATGATTGTTACAACTGATGAACTGACATCGACAGGTCATTATCACCCCAAGTCCAGTTCACATGAGGGTTCACTCTTGGCGTTGCCCATTCTATGTTTTGACAAGTGTATAATGACACGTATCCACCATTATAGTCTCACACAGAATAGTCTCACTGCCCTAAAAACCCTCTGTGCTCTGCCTGTGCATCCCTCCTCCCTGCACAGCCCCCAGCAACCACTGGGCTTTGTACTGTCTCCATAGTTTTGCCTTTTCTAGAATGTCATATAGTTGGAATTAGACAGTATGTAGACTTTTCAAATTGGCTTCTTTCACTTAGTAGTATGAATTTAAGCTTCCTCCATGTCTTCTCATGGCTTGATAGCTAATTTCTTCTTAGCTCTGAATAGCATTCCATTGTCTGCACAGAACACAGTTTATTTACCCATTTATCTACTAAAGGACATCTTGGGGACTTCCAGGTTTAGGCAATTATGAATAAAGCTGTTATAAACATCCACGTGCAGGTTTCATTTGGATAAATATTTCTTCCTTCTTTTTCACCTGGTAGCTCCTTCTCATTTCTTAGGGCTCTATTTATTTACAGCCTCCTCCAGGAAGCCTTCCATAATCCCCCCCAGCTTGGCACAGGTGTCCCCTCTGCACCCCATAGTCCACTATATTTCCCCAAAAACAGCATGAACTATACTGTTGGCTTCTGTTTTCCTCGCTGGTCTTAGGCTCCTAAAGGCAGGGGTCGGGTCTCAGCACACAGAGGTGTACAATACTTGCTGGTAGAATAAATGGGGGATGCTGGGCTTTCAGGGAAGGGCGGTCATCTGTGAGGGGCACTTACCTGGACACAGGACGTCCCGAGATGTTCAGATCTGGAGGTAGCAAAGCCTTCTCTCCAGCTAGCCACACTCTACTCAACCTTGAAGAACAGCTACTCCCCATAAAAGGCTTCCCAACCCTGTGTTCTGGGCACACTCTCAGGCTGGCACATACTCATCCTGCCTGTCTATTTAGAACTCAAATATCTGGAGTACAGAGTCGGTGTTTTACTGTATTTCCCCTGCGTCTCATAGTGTGGCAAATGGCACCATGCACAGCGTTCTGTGTGTAAGTGGTTGAGATTCCAGACCTGGGTTTATGACACAGCTCTACCTCTTAGTAGCTAGGCAATCCCAAGCAAGTTATATTACTTCTCTGAGCCTCAGTTCCCTCCTCTCGTGAGGTAATAATAGTGACTCCATAGAGTCGTTGTGAGAATTAAATGAGATAAAATATGTAAAGCTACTTGGCGCAGTGACTGGTACATAATAAGTGTACAGTAAATGGTAACTATTACGATTATCACTGATTCCTTAAAAATAACTTTCACAGAGCATTAGCTATGTGCCAGGTACTGAGTTATGTGGGAAATGCAGAGATAAAGAAAATGAGGTTCCTCTTCTGAAAAAGTTCAGAGTCCAGCGGAGAGACAACTGTAAGTAGCAGTTAGGAGACAGGGGAAAGAACAAGGGTGACCCTGAGGTGTTATGAGGCCCAGAAAAGAGGAAGTTCAGCCTGGAGAACCAAGGAAGAAGGGTTGAATGAAGCGTCCCACTGTTAGATCGTGAAGGATGGATAGAATTGAGCCCCAGTGAACAACAGAATAAAAGGCATTCTGATAAAAAGAGCAGTGTGTTCAAACGGGAGCCTAGCAGGTTCATGGACCACAAGTATTTCGGAGTAGCTGTAAGGTGAGGGGGAGTGAAGGAAAGGCAGGGGCTGCAGCTGGGGGTGAGCTGTGGTCAAATCTTAGGGGCCCGAGTATCAGCTTGAGGAAGGTGGCATTCAGAAAATACCTTCCATGGGTGGAGGAACATGGGCAGACAGATGGGGAGAGATGGGTGGATGGAGGAGTAGATGGATCCCGATGGGGAAATGACTTTACAGATCTATGGATAGACCAATGGGAGTATGGGTAGAAACATAAGCAGATGGATAGAGATATATAAATGTCTGAGTGAATGTAGAGAAGTACAGATGCGTGGAGAGATGGGCATGGGTAGATGGGTGCACGGAGGAATACATGGGTGACTGTACAAGAACCAGTAGATGCATGGGTGGGTAGATAAGCGCATCGGTAAGTGGTCCTGTGGATAATTGTTTAGAGATGGATGAGTGGATAAATAGGCACCTGGATAGATGAAGAGATGGATGGATGAATAGATAGGTATAGACAGAAGGATGGATGGATGGATGGATGGATGGATGGATGGATGGATGGATGGATGGATGGATATAGATATGGGAGGCAGACGGGAGTGTTGTATGGATGGAAGGTCCACAGGATAGAGGAGTAGGGGATGGAAGGTTGGGGTGGATTGATGGTTCCATGATGGATATACAGTTGGAAGGCTCCCTGGACGGCCACTTTCTCTCCCACTTTCAAGCCCTACCTACCTTCAAAGTCCACTCGGCCATCCCCATTGAGGTCCACATCTCGGATAATTTCCTCTATGTCTCGGTGTCCCACCTGATGACCTAGGAGTTTCCTCATGGCCTCTCGCAACTCACTGGTGCTTATCTCCCCATCACCATTGGTGTCAAACTAGACAGGGCAGGAAGGAGGGAGAGGTAGCTGAACGTGGAGACTGTCAAAAGCAGATCCCAAGGTTGGGCTCCTTCTCCAGAGCCATTGTGTCCCACCCCCCTGCCGAGATCCTTCTCTGTTCAAGTTCCTTCCCTGGTTTAGGACCCAGGGTTCAGGTTTCTTTTCAAGTTGTCATCGTGGGGTTGGGATTCTAACAACCTACCCACCCCCTGCCTGTCCACTGCCCATCACTCACCTCTCGGAAAGCATCTCGCAGTTCCTTTACTCCAATCATATCTGCCGTCTCAGCCAGGAGTTTAGGTCCCATTAGCTCCACAAAGTCATCAAAATCCACATGGCCACCCACTGGGGACAAAGAAAAGAGCTAGGTCACCCATCTAACCATTCCCCTCCTCCAATTAGGCAATGGCGGGCACTACCAACCCTCCCTGACCAGCCCAGAGCCAGGTCCAAGGTTTAACCAAAGGCCAAATGATGACAGAGAGGTGACAGTGGACAGGTGGTTTGTCAAAGAGTGGCGCAGAGAAGTGGCCAGGGGCTGACGAAGGGAAGAAGTCAGGAAGTGGACAGAGGTAGATATGGATGAGAGAAAGAAACATTAGGTCACAGAGACAGGCAAAGAACTTCAGAGACACAGACACACACAGAAGGGCAGAGAGAGAAGCAGAAGCCTGGGCGCCTGGCCCACGTGCTCCAAGCCTTACCCTGTGCAAACGGAAGCTCAACTTCCAACTGGCTCTCTCAGTAGGTACAAGTGTTGGAGACCTGACACCCAACGTGGTGTGTTCACAACAGCTTTCCACCAGTGACTAACAGGAGTTCGGGGGATAAACGCCCCAGGTGAGGGCTAGGGGGTAACTCTGAGGTGGGTGGGCTGCTACACTAACTCCCCGAGTTCCCCAGCAGAATTAGACTCTGGTTAGAGATAGCTGGTGGGAGAAGGCACCCTTTGCTGGCCCCTCCTTTTCCCTGCCTCACTTCCCTACTTAACACCCACTAAATAAACTACTGTCCTTTCAAATTCTTGTCTCAGGCTTGCTTCTGGGAGAACCCAGACTAAGGGGAAAACATCGTAATAATAGCATCATCTGTTCAACTCTCACTGTGTGCCAGGTATTGGGCTGTTTTCAAAATATTCCCTAATTGATTTCCTGTGCTTTACGCCCCCTGCTATATCCCTCATTTTCCAGGTGAGGAAACAGAGGCTCAGAGAGGGTAAGTGGTTTTCCCTGGGTCACAGAACTGGAAAGAAGTGGGCCCAGAATTTGAACCAGGGCCTGTCTGACTGCATAGAGCTGCAAAGGTGAGGATGGGAAGGGAAGGAGGTGCCCAGTGGAGGGACTCACGGTTCATGTTGATCTGCTGGGACAGCTCAATAAGCTCCATCTCGGTGGGCATGTAGCCCATGGTGCGCATGCAGTTGCCCAGGTCCCGGCAGTTGATGTAACCGTCTTTGTCCCTGTCAAATTCTCTGAAGGCCTCTCGGAGCTCTGGGGAAGGGAACAAAGGTGGACATTGTTGGGGGTGGGACCCACCAAGCCTCTGGGGCCAAAAGCAGCCATAGGGCCCACTGGCTTGGAGAGCCAGACCCGGGAGCTGCCCAGGATTATGTACAACTCTGACCCCTGGCTCTACAGAGGATGCTCAGAAACTTACTCGGCCCTGTCCCAGAAGCCGGGGGTCTCTACCTCTCTTCCCACCAATCTCCCTTCCCTCAGCATCCTGGATGGCTGGGTAACCCTTTCCCCTAAGGGGCCAGGTCTTACCTTCAATCTCTTCTGGCCGCAGTGATCTGTCCTGAAACAAAAGAACATGTTCTATTAGAGGGGCCCTGAGTCACAAAATGCCCAACCTTAGGGCCATGCAAGTAAGTGGCAGTAAGCACTGGGTGGGAGGTGGCGGGGCTGCAGCAGACCATGCCTGGACCATGTCCTTGAGGGGAAAATGTGCACCCCCACATCTCCCATAGCCATGGCAGATGCCCAGGGACCCAAGAGCCCCACCCAGCCTGGGCACAGAATGTCTGTGCCCAACCCCTTATTCCAGACACAAGAATGTGTCAGAGAACAGAGCTGGTCCAGAGGCAAAAACCTGTAAATGAAACTGGGTCATCGGGAGGTCACAACAGAGAGGAGGCCTGCAAGGTAATGGGAGGAGAGAGGGGCTGGAGGCAGAGAAAGCAGGGACTAGACAGGCAGCCTGAGAGAGAGGAGGGGGAGGCCCCGAGGGTGTGGAGGAAGGATTAGGGCTGTGCCCTGCTTCCTGGGCACTGCTCTACCTTCTCCATTTCTACTCCCATCCTATACTTTGCCCTGTCACAGGACGCAGCATAGGACCCTGGGGGCCACCAGTGCCTCTGGGGGCCGCCAGGCTCCAAAGCACACATCTAAAGCCTCAAGCAGTGCCCAGATCTCCTTGGGGAAATCAAGGAAACCTGGGTCTAGGCATCATAACAGATGGCAGAGAAATCTCTAAAGAGCAGGCCCAGAGGATCCATGGGGCAGCTCCAGCTGGTGAGGGGCCAGTTGCCTCAGGCCTGCCCAGGAGGGACACAGACTGGCACAAAATGGATGCTGCTGCCCAGCTGGATCTGCTTAGTAAGCTCCCAAACTGGTCCACGGGGCTCCTCCTCCCCAGATGACACAGTTCTCTGCTTTTGGGCAGGGAGGACATGGGGTAGGTGCGGTCACCCTGAGGAAGCACACGCCAGGTATGGGCACACCTGTCATGAACGGTGCCACCGTGAGCGTGAGGCATCTCAGCTGTGCACACAGGCTGTTCCAGCCAACAGGGCCAGGGAAGGTAGACAGTTGCTGCCCACCCACTCCAAACTGGCCCCAGGCAAAGGACCCCAGCTCTGGAAAATCTGAGAATCTTCTAGAAAGGGGCTACTGAGCAACATCTTGTGAGGCAAGCAGGTGTACAGGACCCGGTGCTCAGAAGTGGCTGTACGTGGCAGGACAGTGTTGAGTGTGTAAGTGTGCTCGGAACAGGTAGGCTGCAAGCTACCAGGGCCTCCAAGCAGGTGGCACTTCTAGCTGAGAGTAGGATTCATTGAAGGTATGTCTGTCTCTGTTAGATGACTGTATGGACTTCTGCTTTAAAAGCCTGTTACAGTGCACAGTGGGTTGTCACTCCATCACCTACCCAATCCTACCTCTGTCACCCAGTAGCTGTTCCAAGTCAGGCTTGGTTCTTGTGTGACCAAAAAAGATGGGGTTTTTTTTGCAGTGCCCATACCCCCAATAAGTGACAGTGAGCAATATAAATGAGGATGTGCCCGCCCACACACACGCAGAGTACACTCGCTAGGACAAGTTACTTAGACATAACAAGTCCTTTCCCCTGTTCAGGCTCAAGCAGCCCCTCACTTCTCCAGGACCCAGCTCTGAAGGACTGGAGAGAAGTGAGGTGCTGTTGACCACCCCCGAAGCCTCCTCCATACATCTTGTATAGACAGAGTGAGGGAGCAGGAAAGGCAGGCAGCCTTTTGCAGTAGGCCTGTGGTCTACTGGCTGAGTCCTGGTGGCTGGCACTTGGGTCACACACTCCCCCATGCAGAGAGGTGGTATGTGTTCTGGGCTCTGGAGTAGAGTTGGAGATGCCCACCCATGTGGCAGGGAGACCATGAGCAACTTGGGGGGGGGGGCGGTCAGGTGGGAATGGAGCTTGGCCTCTAGAGTCAGACAGACTAGAGTGCAAAGCTCAGACCTGCTGCTTCCTAGCTATGAGACCTGAGCAGGTCACTTCTGTGAGCCAGTCTCCTCATCTGTAAAATAGGTTAATACCAGGGCCCACCTTATAGGGCCTTTGGAAGCATACCATGAGACAAGATATGTAAAGTATTTAGCACATGGCATTCAATAAATGGAACTTACAAATGTTTGTAACACGATCATTGTTCCCCTCCTCCCTGGCTGTTCAGATTCCTGTAGGAGGCTGTCCAATACAGCAGCCACACATGGCTGTTTACATCAGAATGGGAATTAAACAGTGGCACTTGTAATGTGTCAAGTACTCAATAGCCACATGTGGCTAGTGGTGGCTGTATTGGACAGTGAAGATTATAGAAGGTTTCCATCCTGGTAGAAAGTTCTACTGGACAGCGCTGTGAAGTCAGTACTGTTGTCCAGAGCATAGGAGGTGCTTGAGTCAGACTCCCCAAGTCTGAATCCTACCTCTGTCACCCACAAGCTGTTACCTTGAGCAGGTTACTTCTCCAACTCAGTGTCCTCATCTGTAAAGTGGGGATAATATTACCTACCTCTTAGAGTTGCTCTGAGTCTGTCTTAAATGAGGCAACATACCAAAGCTCTTAGCACAGTGTGTGGCACACAGTAAGTGCTCAAAAAAATCCCCAAACATTCTCTGGCCTGTGTGGCTCAGTTGGTTGAGCTTCGTCCCATGCACCGAAAGGTGACAACTTCGATTGCATATGGGAAGCAGCTGATTTTTCTCTCTCACATCCATGTTTCTCTCTCTCTCCCTCTCCTTTGCACTCTCTCTAAAATCAATAAAAACATATATATATTTTTTAATCCCCAAACAATGTTAGCTGCTGTTATCATTTCTTGCTGGTGCAGGTAAACTCACCAGTGCTTTGCAGCCATGAGTGGGAAACTTTAGGAGTCAGATTCTCAAGTTGAGGATTTGAGGCGTGTCTGCTGGGAGACACATTTCTGTGTACAGGGCCCCTCTTCTTCCCAGCGCCTCCTCACGACCCGTGAAGCCAAGTGGAGCACGGCTCCACCGGGGCCAACTTACGTACAGGCTGCCTGTTCTCAGCGAAGCCCTTGCGCAGGAAAATGCAGGCAGGGCCCAGCAGGTTGTGCATGACCGCACAGTTCTGGGCCAGCATCAGGAGCGGTCCAGGGAGCTCGCCGCTGGCCGCCAGCCCCTCCTCGCTTGTCTGCACCACGCTGTAGCTGGTCATCTCCTCCCGGCGCATCTTCAGCCAGCACCAAGCAAATACAAAAGAGAGGCAGGCGTCATCTCCCTGCCCAACGGGGCCCTTCTGGCCCCAGCCTGGCTCTTGGTCCTAGAAGGGGCCCTCCTCAAGGTCAGGCCCTAATTGTCCAGCAGCAGGGTTCGGAGAGCCCTCAGGGTGCACGAGGGCAGGCATCAAATTGGTCCAACAGGTGGAGTCTCTGCTCCTGCACTGAAACAGATGCTCCAGGGAGAGCGGGGTGTGACACCCACCATGTGGCTTATGCATGTGCACACACACACACACACGCACACACACGACACATACTATGCAGAGAATCTCTCTCATGTGCATGCAGAGGCTCAGAGAGAAAAGCAGGCAGCGGGAGGCTTCTGCCCCAACCAATGGGAAGTTTTCATTGAGAGATTAATAGAATAAGGCCCTTTCCCAATGCTGTCCCAATGTCCCAGCGCAAACCCTGGGGCTAACTTCCCAAACTGACTTCTGACCCTACCCCCACTGGATCCCCACTGGAAGGCAGTGAGGACAATCAGAGCGGGGCAACGTGGAGAGCAGGCTCAGCTAGACTGGAGGTTGCAAACAGGGGCCATAGCTAACATAAACGAAGCGGGCAGGTGTAAGAGGTGGGGACTGGGGCTAAACGGATGCTCATGTCCCCTCTTAAGAAGCAGCACTTCGTGACTCCAGCCCAACGTTGCCAGACCTTCTGGTGGGCAACACAAAGCATGTCTGTGGGTTGGATCCCACCCTGTTTGTGGCCTCTCTTTCACCCCGCAAGTCTCCCTTCCCCCTCCCGCCTTCCCTGGCTCCCTGCCTGGCCCAGCCTGCCGACTTCTGGAGGCTGAGGAAGGGGGCCTCTTTGCTTACCGAATATAGCTGTGCTCCCAGGCCCTGGCCAACCCTCCCGCCTCCCTGCCGGTTCCCATGCAGCTATAAAAAGTCAGCACTGCCCACAGACCGTCCCCTTAGGACAGCAGCAGCACCCAGACACAACATTCGATTCTGCCCCGGCCTCCCCGGGATGCCCGGGCCCCACACAGCCCAGCGCTGCATGTCTCGCTGCACTCTTCTTCCTGCCACATTCCTCTAGCTCAGCGAAGGTCACACCCAGGAGAAGGTCCTAACCTGGGGGCAGCCTGTCCTCCCGGGCCGAGGAGCAGAACAATCTGCCTCATCTCACCTTGCCCTCTCATGTGTCTTCTCCCCAAAGTCCCACACTAGACTCAACTCAGATTTGAGGTGAAGGACCTCGGTCAATATCCAAGTTCAGTGAGTGCAATTAGGGGTCAGTCTTAGGTAATCTCAGAACTTAAGGGATGTCAGATGGATCCACGACCATTCTGATTTTATCCCAAATGAGGTTCAGAGCCTCAGCCGCACTCACACAGGCTCCCAGAACATAGCTAGAGTGAGGGCAGAGCTAGAGGGACCTTCCTGAAGGAGACTGGCTCCAAGGAGGCCTGGGATTGCGCAGCGGCTTCAGCCCCGGACACGATCTCCAGAGATGGCTGTAGGAGGCGGCCTTCTAGTTCTGGCTGACTCGCACTCAGCTTGGCTCAGAGTGAACACAACCCAGGAAGGAGGAGGCGGCAGGCGGCGCAGACCTCCTCTGAGAGGCGGTTTTGAACACTGGCTTTGGATTCAAACAGTCTTGGGGACAATTCTGGCTCTGCCACCTGCTTGCTTTGTGACCTTGGGCAGGTCACTTCACCTGTCTGTGCTCTAGTTTCCTTCTTTAAGCAATGGGGATAATCATGGCGACTCACAGGATTCTTGTGGGAAATAAATGAGCTAGTGCGTAGTGCCTGGAGCATGGCGAGAGTGGAATAAATGGAGTTGCCATGGTGATGACAATGACAATGACAATGACGATGACGATGATGGTGACAGTGATGCAACTTAAGAGACACCGCGTGCCAGAAGGCATTTACTTCTGGCTCCAGAGGAAGTGGGAGAATTTTGCCAGTCAGAAAAGAAGTGAGAAGGATGGGGAAGAATTTGCTCCCACGAAGTATGAACCAGAGGTGGCTGCATCTCTGATCATAATCCTGTCTGGCACCAAGTTGGCCCAGGAAGCTGCTGCTCTTCCCGGGCCAGTGATGGCACCTGACAGCCTGGCCTTGCCCTGCTCAGAGCCTGGAGCAGGCCGCCTCTCACCATTACCAGTTCCCTGACTACCACTCAGGAAGCCAAGTGGACAGCGGCCCACAGGCTGACCATGTCTCCTGGCACCGAGGGGACGTCTCCTGAGTGTGGCATAGCAACAGGAGGGCCCAGCATGCCTCATGACCTAACAGCTTTCTAACAACAGAAGCCGGCCAAGAGCCTGTGGGGCAACGCTCCCTGAAGGTACTCGAGGAGAGGTTGAAGGAGTGAGCATTGGTTGGTGAGGTAGGAGAGGGGACTGCTGCACTCAGTGGGAATTTGGACCAGATGACATGTAAGGTCAGATTCAGAGATCTATGAATAACATCTTTAACAGCAGGAAGAAGAGAAAGGCAAAAATAAAAATAAAATACCAGCTCTGGATTCACACAGACTGGGGTTTAAATCCCAGCTCAGCATCCAGTGGGTTGTGTGACTTTAGCCAAAAGAACTATTTGGTGGAAAAGAGAAAATGAGGTAACAGAAATTGGATACATTGTAGATATTAAGGAAAAAGCAATTATTATTATTTTTATTTTTTAAAAATTCAAGAAATTTCCCTGGCCAAGTAGCTCAGTTGGTTAGAGCATCATCCCGATACACCAAGGTTGCAGGTTTGAGCCCTGATCAGGGGACATACAAGAAGCAACCAATGAATGCATAAATAAGGGGAACAACAAACTGATTCTCTCTCTCTCTCTAAAATCACTTTAAAAATTTTTAAAGATTTAGCCCAGCTGGGCGTGGCTCAGCAGTTGAGCATTGACAGAGGATCCAGGAGATAGAGGTTCGATTCCCAGTCAGGGCACATGCCCGGGTTGCGGGCTCGGTCCCCACTTGGGGGTGTGCAGGAGGCAGCCGATCAATGACTCTCTCATCATCGATGTTTCTCTCTCTCTGTCCCTCTCCCTTTCTCTCTCTGAAACCAATAAAGATAATTAAAAAAATAAAATAAGTAAAAATTTAAAAACATGAAAGTGAATGCAATAAGTTTTATGACCTTTAACCCTATTCCATGGACTCAAAATCTCTATTTTATTTTTCCTCCATCCCCCTTCTCAGAAAACCCAGAGTGGAAAAATTATGATTATGATGACAATACTACTAGCTAACATTTGTTGAGTACTATATTCCAGGCAGTGAGCAGAATACTTTATTTAGTTCTCACAATTACCTTATGAGGTGGATATTAGTATTTCCACTTGGTGGACAAAAGAACTGAGGCCCAGAGAGGTCAAGTAACTTGCCCAAAGTCACACAGTTGGAGACCTGAGAAGTCTGATTATTCATAGATCTCTGGGTGGGGTGGAGCCAAAGACAATTCTTGTTCTTATGTTCACCTCTTCAAGATCTGGACAAAACCAGGGGAAGGGCTTTCACCCTGTGGTCCTCTAAACTCATTCAGATCCATTTCCGTTTCTCTACAACAGCGTGGAGGCCACTTCTGGTGCAAAAGACTCCACTAAGAAGATGACAGATGATGGGGGGGTGCGCAGAGGAAACAGTCAACCCCCAGAAGGATCCAAGGAACAGCAGAGATGAAAAGGAATTTGATGTGAGCAGCTTAGCTAAATGAGGAAAGACGGTGAGCAGCAGAAAAGCCTGAAATGTCCCAAAGTGAGAGGCTGCCAAACTGACCGAGGAGGTGGGATGCGGTTGGGGGCAGAGGTGCCATTAGCTAACCTGAGACTTTGGGAAAGTCACTTAACCTGAGTGGCAACTAAGTTCCTTGTCTGGAAAAAGAAAGCGCTGCAGGGAAAATTCCCTATCATCCCGTTGACCTTTAAATAATGTCTGTGAGTTTCTTCTATGGCCTGACCACGGAGGGCTAGAAATACAGGCAGAGCCCGCTTGACGCAAATCCCTGTAGATGCAAGCCCAGACTTGCGTAAAAGATGCTTCGGAGGTGATTACTTGCTTTCCAAAAGGAATTCTTGCGAAAAGATATTATCCTTGTGAATAAGCACTAAATCTGCTATAGAAAGTGACGTGTAGACACTTCTGCCCAATATCCTTTCTCAGTGAAAACAATTCTGGTCCCTGAACCAGCCTGGTTCTAGTTGAGATTCTCTCACCTGACTCAAGAATTAATGAGGGTGAAAGGGGATATCCTGCTTGGTTCCTTTAGGTGGCAACAGGATCTATTTCAAAACCCCCAACTCTGAAGGCTTAGAGATCACCAGAGAGGGTCAGAGGCCCTCAAAGGAGGCGAACAAGCCCTGCGTCCTACTGCTGAGGAGCTTTAGCAGCAGAAAGGTGAAAGCTCAGCTCAGCCCTCTTCCGATCCTGCCAGCCCCAAGCAGTCTGTCCACTCTGACATCCTAAGGATCCATGCTTTCCATTTTACATCCTAGGAGCTACGTGGTTCTTTCCTAAATCTTGTACAAATTCCCAAACACAGCCCCCCATGCAGCTCCAAGTTCCAACTTCAGCTCAGAGACTGGGACATAGAAAACTGCGATAGGAGGTAATCCGGAGGTCAGAACAGGGAAGCAGCTCTAGACAGAACCCACGGGAAGGGTGGCAAGCCTCAGATGCCCACCCTCTCCATGCCCAACCTCTGGGACTGATGGGAAGATGCCCAATCCCCCAACCCAGGTTTCGGCACTCCAGAAACATACCTTCCTTGAGAGATTTCTCAGTGGAGACTTGACACAGTTGCCCATCCTAAGCTGAGGCAGCCCCTCTCAGGATCCCTGGGTCCATGAAGGAGGCTCCAGGGGGCCTAAGAGACCTTAGTCCCGGGTCACTGCCAACCCCAGCCTCCCTCTGCCTCCGCCGCTCTTCCTCCAGGACTGATCTGAGCCCTCTCTCTTGCGCGCGTGCTCTCTCACTCGTCTGCCAGCTCCTGCTGATTTTTTTTTTTTTTTT